GAAAGATATAGACGAGTGTTTGCAATGGACCTTTAAATGTCAGGATTCGTCACAGCGTTGCAAAAATACTCAAGGTTCTTACAAATGCGTCTGTGAAGAGGGACTCTATTGGATTGACAATACTTGCAAAGGTGAGACCGCATGTATTCATATCACCCTAATAAAACAGGATAAATTTGATATGCAGTGTGGCTATACCTGTGTGGCTATAAATGTGGCTTAACCACGCATTTAATGAATAAACAAGAACATTTTAATGACTTTTTAAACATTTTTTCCTCAGTTGCACACGACTAAATTTCCTAAAGGAAAGGATTTGAAAATAGATATTGTTGTGACAGGAACGGAGTTTGTAAGGATGAGGTGTGGCTTATACCCAATTGACACCGACAAAACCTTTTTAGTTAAACTGGGTTTAAGTGAGCAAAACTCAGAAACAGAGAGATGAAAAATCGCCTTTTTTTTCCATAGGTTTCAAGTAGTCACTAACTTGTATCTTCAATGTGCTTAATTTGAAGTCGACAAACATAGGTTTAAAGTAGCTTCTAAGAAGAGAACAGATTTAAACCGTGTTTAACAAAGCAGCTTTAAAACTTGTTTAAGATTCGGTGAGAATGCTGCATAATTAATATCGCAAGAGATGTTGAACCAAAGTGGGTAAGACAACTTTGGAAGCACTCGATCATATACAATTATTATTCGTGGAGAAAATTTAAAACTTATTTCCATATATTTCCTGTAATGAGACTAGGGATATATATTTAGCTCAGATCATTCCAAAGGGCTACCTTTTCAACTTCGAATATCGAATCGACCTCTCTGGTGATGATGTTACTTACTTATTTTCACTTTTACTCAAGGGCTTGATAAAGATGAAAAACCACCTCCTCCGCCGCCCGCACCGACTCCACAAAATCCGTCCTTAATTGAAAAACGTCAAGCGATTGTTATCACTTTTGAAGGACTGAACTTATCTCAGGTATTGCTTTCCACTCGAAAGCGACACGAGTAATATATTATTAAAGTCACAAACAGATAGAGGATGTCAATGACAAAAATTTTTCAGTGAGATGAACCTTGTCGTATCTTCTCGCGTCCATTTTAATTCTTTACATTATAAAAAGACAATGAGGACAGTCAATCTGTTCTCGTTCATTTTACTCCTCGCGGTTAGAGAGGAAGAGGTTTGAAAATTTAATGAAAAGCCAGATTACAAACGGCGATGATCAGCATTGTCGACAGTGGTTTGGATGAAATAAATTAATTTCTCTGTGCTGAAGAAGAAAAGTTGTTGGGGGGCCTTTCTGGGTGGATGAGTGTAAATGTAATTTGAAAGGTTAATTAAGTTGAATAGCCTTCAGGAAAATCAATACTGAATAAGTTTAACAAATAAATAAACCCCCAGTATTTTGAAAAAGGCAGAAAAGAAACTTGTCTTTCCCCTAGGGAGGCATCTTATCGAATTAACCATAATGATTATTAAACACAGAATTTAATTTTTGTGTTTTACTTGAAAATGAGTATGTTACAAACCATGAAAAAAACCTTGTTGTTTCACGATTATTTAGTGGACCCTACCCGTAGAGCAAGTCTTCAAAGGAGCAGTTGCAGATTCTGTGACCACTTTCTGTGGGGAAAGCAGAGACTGCATAACCAGAAGACTTCGAAAAAGGTTACCGCACCATTTCCAAGCCTAGTCACAACTAAATAGGTCATTTCCAATTACTTTTGGCCTCTTTTTCAAAACGAGGCCTGGTGCTTAACTATTCGTATGAAAACGAGTTTAATTTGCATATGAATGAAAAACTCATAATTACGTGAAAGGATAAGCACCAGGACTTGTTTTTAAAAAGAGGCCAGTGGTAATTCAGAAATTAGCTACTCTTTCATTACATTTCGTTTTGTCCATAAAGGAGACTGAGGTATGCTTCAAAAAGTCGATACATTTTGCAAGTAAAAAATACACATGAAATTGACTATTGACATAGCTAGTTTAGCAGCAGAGCTGGGTTCTTCGAAGCTGTTATTAAGATATCCCAGGGCAAAAGATCTGAAAGCTTTCAAAAGAATATTCACTATTACTCCTTTTGAATAAAATTTGATGCTTGGATGCTCTAAAAATATATTAAAGAAATATCCGAAAGAAGGCTTTCAAAAAAGGAAAGAAAGGAAATGATTAAAGAAACATAGACTACACTTGTCCTGGGTTAGGGCTAATCGGCTTTAGAACAACTGGGCCCAGAACTTAACATACATTGCACATTTGACTACAGAAGTCACTTTTATTGAACCATGACAAAAATATATATTTTAATGTTTGCAAAATAAGATGAATTTTTTTAATGACTTTCTCCCATGACCATTTGTTCTGCCAAATTCAATTGATGCTCAAACTCTTTCAAGCTAAGAAAGAATTATATGGTTTTGATTTCAGGAGGGCACTCGACTACGTCCTTTTCACATCAGATCAAGTTCACCTTCTTCCCGGTTATCCAGAGAGAACCACGTATCTTTATCAGATTCGAGTTGCAATCTACGTCCAGTTCCCACCTGGAGTGGCTGCTGATTCTCGTTCTGCCCTGGATAAAAACACTTTGTTGACAGTCATCGAAACATCACATGAAAAGTTGGAAAAAGCCCTGGACGTGACAGTAGTTAGCCTAACAATTGCATTCCTCGACTCTTCTACCGAGAGCAGTTTCACTGAGACTCCAAAAATTGATTATGAAGAAATAACAAAACGGTATTTCATTATTGGAGGAGCAACAGCTGGGGCCATATTGATCATCATACTTTGTGTTCTGGGATGTTGCAAGTGAGTTTGGTTCACTTTTGCCACTTTTGCACCTTCGTTGATACGAGTGTAAAACGAGACCCTTTGACCCAATCCGGCCACATCGTGCATTTTGACCACTCACATGCGAGAAAAAATGTTTAAAGGATTGTAAGCTATTTCTTTGTTATACCATAATCACTACCAGGGAAGGAAATTGGTAATAAGACTTACCTCGACCTTGCTGTCACTTATACACTTGCGCTAATAGAGAAGGAAATTGACGATAATACTTTCCTCAACCTTGCTGTCACTTACATACGATAAATTCTTTTCTGTTTTACTATAATCAAATCAGCCCTTTTCCGTTTTTTCCGTTTTTGAACCTGCAGAACATAAATTAGTTGTCGAAAATGTGACACCACCCGATACCGAAAAAGTAAGGTCTTGGAATTTCGTATAGGTCTAGTAAAAAGGAGAACATGTAAATAATCATATTTATATTCTGTCGGCTTGTAACGTTTCAGAAACTGCAATTCAACACGAGTGACGCCCATAAAGATGGTTGCCTACAACAAAGACGACGACGTCGAACTTTATAGAGTCAAGGGTCATTTTGACGATCAACGAGAGGAAGAAAAAGGTTCTACCAACGAACAAGCCCTTGACAGGGATAACGAAGCCATTTAAGTGCTTTAAACTGAAAACATCTCTTTACATATATCTTTCTAGGGTTAAGTAGTTTAGAATAGGTATCTATGCAGTTAAGTTCCTGATGGACTGATGATTTATATGCATTTGCTAACTTCTTTTGTTACTAACAATGGCTTTATTATATTAGTCGAATGGGAAGGCGGTCCAGTTATATTAGTGCAAGTCACAGTGTTCGTTTTCCCCCAGTATAATGAAATAAGGGTGGAGGAGAAAATTAATCTCTAGATTGGTATGCAAATCAATGCAGTTTCACAGAGTGAAACGGGGCAATTTGCCAATCAGAAACGAATTTAGTACCGCTTGGAGATGCCTAGCCCATGAGAATTAGAATTTCGGAGTAGAAAAATTCTTCAAAGAGTATGCTAAAAAATTTAAAATAAAGCTTAGTGACATGCAGTGGTTAATGCGTCAGTTCAACCTTTTATATGCTCATTTCGCCCATGAATCCGTGTGTCTGCATCATACATGTAAATTAGTAAACCAAACTTCTTCATCTCACAATTGTCATTTAGGTGTAAAGTGGGAACATGTATGAAAGTAATGGTTTTTCAGTACATCTAATCTATATGTATGATGGTGTTTTTAACGCTTTTTGATGGATATTTAATAAAAGTGCTTGTTACTTTAGATCTAAAATCATAGCATTACTAGGTACAAAACCTAATTTAAGAGTAAAAAAAAGCACACAAGAAAACTAAAGAAATGTGGATTGAACTGTGCCCTGCTGAACCCTTCTGGTTAGTGATGTTCCAAAAGCACATGTCACTCTCGTAACATAAAATATAACAGGAGTTACAATACTCGATTGCAAAAGCGTTGACAGTCGTTGACACCTGAAAAGCATGAACCATGAAATCCAATGGCTTTATGGGAAATGTTTACACAGATACATACTCAGTGATTCACTTTTCTCATTATTCACGTGAGATATTTTTTATGATGATCCTTCCAAACTTTCCAAGAACCATGAAAAACATTTAGGTA